TCTACAAATTTTGAAATCCCAGTCTGTCCCTTCCCACCCCCAACCCCCTTGGCTACCACAAATTTGTATTCTATGTCTGTGGGTCTATTCTGTTTTGTATTTATGTTCTTTTTTTTTTTTAGTATTCCACATATAAGTGATCTCATATGGCATTTTTCTTTCTTTTTCTGGCTTACTTCACTTAGAATGACATTCTCCAGGAGCATCCATGTTGCTGCAAATGGCATTATGTTGTCGGTTTTTATGGCTGAGTAGTATTCCATTGTATAAATATACCACTTCTTCTTTATCCAGTCATCCGTTGATGGACATTTAGGCTGTCTCCATGTCTTGGCTATTGTAAATAGTGCTACTAGGAACATTGGGGTGCAGGTGTCATCCTGAAGTAGGGTTCCTTCTGGATACAAGCCCAGGAGTGGGATTCCTGGGTCATACAGTAAGTCTATTCCTAGTCTTTTGAGGAATCTCCACACTGTTTTCCACAGTGGCTGCACCAAACTGCATTCTTACCAGCAGTGTAGGAGGGTTCCCCTTTCTCCGCAGCCTCTCCAGCATTTGTCATTTGTGGATTTTTGAATGATGGCCATTCTGACTGGTGTGAGGTGATACCTCATTGTAGTTTTGATTTGCATTTCTCTGATTATTAGTGATATGGAGCATTTTTTTTAATGTTCCTTTTGATCATTTGTATGTCTTCCTTGGAGAATTGCTTATTTAGGTCTTCTGCTCATTTTTGGATTGGGTTTTTTTTTCTTATTAAGTCGTATGAGCTGCTTATATATTCTGGAGAGTATCTTCTTATTTCTCCTCTAAGACCACGCTGTAGCATTTCTTGTAAGGTAGGTTTAGTGGTGTTGACTTTCCTCAGTTTTGTTAATACTGGAGAATCTTTATTGGCTTCATTCCTGAAGGACAGCTTTGCTATGTATAGTTCTCTTGGTTGACATTCCATCTCTTCCCCAATATTTGTAATAAATCATCTCACACTGGAATACAAAATTTCAGTTCATAAATCTGATCATAGTGTTACAGGGGCTCCCTTGTAGGTGAAAGTTACCTTTTTCTTGCTGATTTCAAAAATTTCTATTTGTGTTTGAGTTTTGACAATTTAATGATAATATGTCTCAGTATATCTCTTCTCAGGTTTAACCTATTTATGGTCTGGGTCTCATGAATCTGATATCCATTTCTCTCCCTATGTTTGGGAATTGATCAGTCTTTATTGCTTTAAGTTGGTTCCTGTCTCTGTCTCTTTCACTTTTTCTTGGATTCCCATAAAGCATATATTCTTTTCTGGAATCCATAAGTCTCATAGACTCTCTTCACTCTTTTTAATTGTTTTTTTTTCTCCCTCCACTGATTGGATAATTTCAAATGACCCATCTTCTAGTTCACTAATTCTTTCTTCTGCAATGTTGAGTCTTCTATGGAAAGTATCTATTAAATTCTTTGGTTCAGTCATTGTCTTCTTCAATTTTAGGATTTCTGTTTCTATTTGTTTTTGGTAGTTTTCTACTTCTTTTTTAAAGTTATTTTGTTCATGCATTGTTTTTCTAACTTAGCTTTACAGTGTGTGTGTGTGTTATTGTAGTTCACTGAACTTTAAAAAGAAGATTATTCTGAATTATTTGTCAGACAGTTCATAGATATCTATTTCTTTAGAGTCAATTACTAGTGGTATAATGTTTATGTGATTCTTTGTGATTCTTGATTCCTTGCATTGGTATCTGTGCCAAGAACAGGCTATGTCCTTTTCCAGACTTTATAGGTTTGTTTTAACAAGGAAAGATCTTCACCAGTCAGCTTAGTCTGGGGTACTGAATGGGTCAACTAATAGTGTTCAGGGACAGGTGGGGCCTGCTATTGAGGTCTCTAGTTTGGTGAGACTATTGCCTGTTCTCTGAGGTTGTGGTAGTGGTGTTTCTGGCTATGCTCCATGGTTGGGTTAGCCTGCTGGCTAGGATTAACCTACATGGGGAGGGGGTGGTGCTGTTTGAGCTCCCTATTGGGCCGGGCTGCTGTCTGTGCTCCATTGTCAGGTGAGGTAACTAGCTGGGCTCTCAATCACATCTGGTTGTCAAGGTTGCAGACTGTGTTCCTTAGAAGGGTAGTGCCACTAGTTGGGCTCTGATTTGGCAGGGCTCCAGGATGAGCTCCATAACTGTCTGTGTTTGAATAGGGTCTTAGGCTCTGCTCCCCAACTGGATGTTACTGCTGAGTGGACTCTGTTCAGGTGGGGCCACAGGCAGGGTTTCACGGTTGGACAGGCCTTTAGTCTGTGCTCTGTGATTAAGCAGGGCTGTATGCTGTGCCTGAAGTTGGGCAGCTCTGCAGGCTGGGTTTCATAATTAAGCAGACTGTTGACTCTTATCTGCTGTTTGGCAAGGTTGCTGGCTGAATCTTTGGTTTGGGGGACCTCCAGCTGTATATCACAGTTGAGTGGGCCTGGAGGCTCTATGCTGTGGGTAGGTGAGGTCAACCATCTGGGCTTCCGTGTTGTGTGGGGTTGCAGGCTATGGTGCACACTTGTGTTGGGTCACTGGATGAGACTGCAGGCTGTGTTCAACAATCAGGCAGGGCCATAGCCTGGGGTCTGCTCTGGAATTGAGCTGTTTTCTGGACTATTCAACTAGCTTGTACCATAGTCTGGGCTTGACGTTGCCCAGGGTCACTGTTCAGGATTCCTGGTTATGTGGGGCCAAAAGTTATACATAACAGTTGAGGAGGCTTGCCTTCTTGTCCATATAGGGCCATAGGATGGGACCTATGGCTGCCTGGGTTCTCTGGGCAGGCTTCCTGGTTGGGTGGGAATAGAGACCATACTTAGCAACTGGGCAGGGCTATGAATTTGCTTCCTTGCTCAGAGAGGGTTGTAGAACCAGCTCTATGGCTGTCATGGATTATTGGCTGAGAATCCAAAACAGGTAGAACAGCCAACTGAGCTCCTTGGCCGGACAGAGCCACCAGCTCAGCTCTGTAGATGGACAGAGCCAATGGCCAGGATCTGTGCTTGGGTGCCACTGCAAGCAGAAATGTGGTCCACCAAGCCTTGAGTGCTGTTTGCTGTGAAGGTTCCCCACTTCCTCATCTATCTGATTCTCAGGGGTGAGCCCTGAAGATTCTCCCAGTGGTCCCCACTGTGAGAGGTTACCTGAGTGTGCCTCATATGGAGCATCTCACAATTCTGGGGGAGCTAGATGCCCACTTTGGGCTCTCTTTTTCTTGCTGGAGAAAATGTAGGCTCAATGGTTCCCTATTATTGTGGTGCTGTTCTGGCCTGGGGAAGAAGTGATGCAGTCAGTGTGTAGTCACTCCTCTTACCCTTCTAATGTGGTTTTTCCTCATCTTTGTGTTGCAGGTGTTGCTTCAACCTCACTCTCATGTTCTGGGATTTTTCACAATGGTGACTTGTCTGTGGATAGTTGCTAGTTGATCTTCTTTTGAGGAGGACTGTGTTAGAAATGACCTATTATACCATCTTGATGATGTCTCTCTGCCATTTTATTCTTTGTATGTAACAGTTTTTACATGACAAGAGTGAAAGAATCCAAAACTGATTAGTAGTTGTGAAAAATAGAAATGGGAATGACAGGAGCAATAGGGAGGTGAGTATACTTACAACAGTATAACAAGAAGGGTGCCAATGGAGATGGAATTCTTTAGTATCCTGACTGTATTGGTCATTTCACTAATCTACATGTATGACAAAACTATACACTACGAAATACACACACACATACACAAAGTACCAGTAAATTGACTGGGGAAATCTGAATAAGATCAGTAGATTGTATCAGCATCAATATATTAGTTGTGATACTATACTATAGTTTTGCAAATGTTACTACTGGGAGAAAATGGGTGAAGTGCATGTAGTTTCTCCTATTATTTCTTTATACTGCATGTGAATCTATACTAATCTTACTGGGCATTTAAATTAAAAGTAT